TAATGAAAGGATTAGGTCTTTTTGACACGAAATCCGTATCTTCCGACGCGAATGCTATTTCTGACCCGGTGGTACATGTGATAAATATCGATTCGGGGTAATAATAATAATAACGATAATAATAATAATAAAATTCCAAGGCACAAGCATAGAATTTGCTCGCGAACCAGATAAATACAAAGCCTATCAAGGAAAGCAAAAAACTCAACCTGAACCTCAACACTTTGTAACACTTTGTAAGCGCGGTAAGATGCTGGCTATAGCTGTTTGGGATGTCAGCACACTCATAAATGTTGCAAGCCAAGCGATCACTGTCCACACCCTCTCTAAACACCGCGTGGCTTGTCGGAAGTCCATCTTCCTCATGTGGGCTCTCGAGTAATAATTTAACCTGGTTTCGAGCAAAGATATTGGCTATATCACTGTGAAGTCTCGGATAACTCGCGGGTATGAAATGGCATAGCAATTGTCTGAAAAGGCTCGATCCGCTCTGATTGAACAGAAGCCAGTAAATAACCGTATGGCCTATGCGCGTTTCAAGGGAAGATTCTACAATATTCGGTTATCAATTTATAAGCTCCAACTTTATGCGCAGATGACCGCGATAAGGATAAGTTCTATGCGGAGCTTCAACTGTTAACAACAACTCTACTGAAACATATGGTTATAATCGGAGAAAACTGGAAAGCGCGGATAAGCCATGATGCCGTTACGATGAATTCAGAAATTGGGAAATATGGCATCGAGGTGCAGTACACCGATGGAGAACGCCTTCTTTGTTTTACTAAAGAGCATGAACTCTTTGTTACTAATATATGCTATCAGCATAGGAGGAAAAATCTAGTCATGTGGAACTCTCCGGACAGCCAAAATTCTAATCAGGTTGACCATATGTAGGTTAATCACTGCTAAAAGAGTTCTTCATTTAATAGTCGTTCTTATCAGGGCGCTGAAACTTTTAACCACCATGGATCATGTTATGGTTCGAGTCATGATTCGTATAAAACTGACAAGTCATAAAACAACGCAAGATTTAAACAAACTCAAATTAAAAAATTTGAGGAATAATAAGCGCATTTTAAACCGTGATATTGAAACATCTCAGTGAAATGAACGTTAATGACATCTCTGGAAAGACGAATAAATACTGGTTCCAACTAAACACATGCCTACAAGACATACCAGCAAAGTCGGCCATTTTCACTTTAGGATAAACTAGTATGAAGAGTGCCAGTTGGGTGTCGGAAGCAACTGTCCACCTATTCGAAAAAACTACGAAAGCCCGAATATCAGGAGGTCCTGACTATTAGGTGCTTCGAAGAATTCCAAAGACAGCAGCACGGCGGGAGAGAAAGCGCTATTGGAGCGATATGGTCTTGAGAATGAAGACGGTGATTCGGATAGGTAATAATCGAAAAATGTTTCGCCTTCTTCGCAAAGCAACTATAACTCGAAGTGGTTAGTAAAATGATACGGAGTATTAACAGAGTGCCTATTAAAGCTATTAAGGATCGCATCAGAAGATGGAAAGAATTTTTTAACTACCAAATTTAACCACGATGCGCCATCTGTTGTCACGAATATAACCTATTCGACCGTAGAGCCTTACGTTTGCGACTGTAAACCGCCAACAGAAGAGGAAGTAATCTCTGTAATCCATAAGCTTTAGACCAATAAAACTCCCGGAGAAGATGGTCTTCGGGCCAAAATCTTCAAATGTTGCCCATCGCTGTTCATAATTCACCTTCAACAAATGTATTCTCTGGTATGGCAAAAGAAAATAATACCAGAAGATTGAAGCAAAGCAATTCTACTTGCAATTCCTAAGGAAGGTGACAGGATATACTGCGACAATTACCGAGGAACTAGCCTACTGGACATTTCCGGAAAATTTTTCACTTCCCTTCTGCTGAATAGACTTATGACAATAAGAGATAGCAGAATGCATCCTAATGCGTGAAGCTGGATTCAGACTACCACGACGCGGTTGTGCTGACCAGATATTTACGCTAAGAAGGGTGCTGGAACAGGTCGCTTCAAATACCAGGAACCCACCGTAACTTGCTTATCGATTTGCAGCTACCTTCCATTCGTTTGATGGAGTAGCACTCTGGAAAGTGGTAGAATATGACTATGTCCAGAGAAGATCACTCGGCTCATAAAGGCATTTTTATCAGCATACCTTGGTGCATATCTGTGTATGTGGGAACAGATAGACTCCTTCGAAAGAAGAACTGGTGTCTGCCAGGGCTGCATCCTTTCCTTGTATTCAATTATGCGATAGGCTGGATAATGGGCATGGGCATTGTCGGCACTCAAGAGGTGTGCAAATCAGTCCAGCGCATAGCATCACAGACCTTACGCGTCATGTAGTTATTTTTGCTGGCATTTATAATGGAATGTAAATAATGTTAAACAATGTTAAACAATGTGTCAACAACTGCTGCGAGAATCGGACTCAAAATCAATGTAAATAAAACGAAAGTATTTTCGTGTCATATACATCATGATGACAAAATGCCAATTTTTATCAATACATTGCCGATTGAGGAAGTGTTCGACTTGAAATACCTTGGTTCCACTCTAACTTCAAGTGGCCAAGCGAAAGATGAAGTTGTAACCCGGATGACGGCAGCTGGAAATGCTGATGAGACCTTTATGGAACCATCGCAAAATTACCATAAAGACGAAAATCCGAGTGTAACTGCTATTCGTTCGGTCTTGCTATATGGCAGCGAAACATGGCCAATGAGAATGGAACATATTAAGAAGATATCAGCCTTTGACCTCATGTCTAAGATATATTTTACGGATAATATATTTTACGGATCCGTCGAGTGGATAAAATGATTGTATCCATCTTCGCTCAACTACCTGTGTTAAAAATGTTATCGCCTTCGCTGGTTAGGGCATGTTCTCCACCACAGGAATCGATGCCTATTTCATTACTTGCTAAACCATGACTGTTGGTGCCAAAAACGAGGAAGTCCAGTCAAAACCTGGACTGATACAGTCAGGAAAGATTTTGAACGTATAGGGGGACTTAGACGATGGAAAAGACCCCAAAGTATCACAAGGATTTCTATGGGTTCGCGCTGGATGATAAAATAAAATTGCAAATTGATACTCAGTATTTCTAAATCGAAATTAATAGCAGCGACTTTACCACTTTTTATCATTTCAACCCGAAGTCATCCTTGAAATCTTACCTAACATTCAATGTATTTCTTGCAAAACCGACCTCTTTTAATCGCTGAAATGAAAAAATTTCATTTCGAAAATACTTTTAAAATGAAAATTACTCCTTGTTTAAGACTTTATGTAAATTTTTCTTTTTTGTATTCCTTATATTTTTCTCTTTATAACATAACGAAAAAATTATTTGCACCCAACGAAACCTGGAATCTTTTCGCTTACTGGACTAAATATTTTGTATTTACTACAATTTTTTGTAAATAAAATTTTTAGCTTTTTCTTTTGAACATTGAGCATTTCTAATTTGGCAGCCTCTGCTTAGATTCCTTTCTCAGCTAGGATAAGATTCCTTTGTCCTATCATTTAGGGATAAGAGTACAATGTGTTTTTTTAGCACCAAAGGTCTTAATTGAACTGAACTTAAATTTAAATTTAATTGAATTGTAAGTCTAGAAAATTAATTAATCAGTACATTCTAGAAAAATTCAAGGCAAGATTGCTAATTCTTAGATAATCCACAGATTTACAGATTATTTTTGTTATCTGATAAAATCCGGTAAAATCACAAGAAAACCTCGATCTTCGCGAAAAAATTTGTCTGGAGCGATATTTATCAATTTACCAATATCAGACGATAACCATCTCAAAACTTTTAAGGAAAATCATCTATAATTGGTACCAACAATCGTGTCAAAGAAGAGGAAAATTTGGTTCTTCCGATTTCTGGTCATATTTAATATTGCCTCGGGCCTTCCGAGAACATAAAAATTGCATCTAAATCAGTAATTCTTCTTTTTTCTTCTAACAGCTCTCATCGTTACTAATTAAGCTGGCTCCACTAACTACGAGAGTAAGACATTTCAAAGCTGCGCGATCTGATGCCATCGTCTACAGTAATAGAAGCCATTCCTTTTTCCATCGTCTGAGTCCATACACTGCTGTTCCACGTATACGTTCAAAGTCTTTCCTGACCACATCAGTCCAAATCTTGATTGGTCCTCCTCGCTTTCGGTACCAACCATCACAGGGTTTAGCAAGTAATGAAGCATGATGGGCGAAGAATATGCCCCAGTGAAGGTAATGTTTTGTGATGGTACTGTTAATATAAGCATTATTTGAACGAAAGCGGATGGGATCATATGAGATTAGATTTTATCCACTCGACGAATCCGTAAAATGTACCTTATACATGAGTTACTCAATCAGTAATAAATCAAATATGAATCGTTAACCCATTCCTTTAAGCAAATAACTTTATAACATATTTGCAACCCTCTCCTATGTATAAATTATCATAAATTGTAAAAAAATTAAAGGGCTTTAACTTTTAATTATACTGTAGTAAGCAGGAATTTTAGGAAAAATAATACAGATATATTTTCAGGTAAAAATCCAAATTAACAATTTTTAATTTGAAAAGATTTCCAGCATATCAATAAAAATGATCAATGATGAATTTAGAAAGTTCAAAAGTTCCCGTGTCAATTAAATTGGTTAATTTAATCTTTAATCTTAATAATTACAAAGTTATCACCATAATCCATAATGTAATATAACGAAAAATCTTATACATTTTGAACTATTTCCATAGTTATTTTGGTTTTCTCTAAGCAAATTAATATATGCATAAATAACCTCAAATAACCTCAAAAGTCCAAAATATAGGAAGAGAATGTTGTGGGAAAAAAATAGATTTTTAAAAAATGAAATTCTTTTATTTTCTATGTAATCTTATATTTCAAATAATATAGACCAGATTTCCATAAAGGATAGACCCTAAGTTATCAATTACTAATAACTTATATTTACATGAAAAGAAGCATATCAATGAACTGGTGAGGTGTAACTCGAACTGAAGGTGCATCATTAGAAACACAAGGATGACCATGATCCTGAAATATCAGTCAACCATATTATTAGCCTTCTTCCCGAACAGCACTCAACACATCTGGCTTGGCTCAACCCACTGTACAATACAACTTTACCAGAGAATTGTTTGGGGAAAAACAAGATGCGTACCATTACCCAGATATGACTAACCTAGTTAAATAACTAACTATGATCAAAAAATTTTGGTTTTAATTTAATTACTTTGAAGAGATTGTGAAGCTTTTTTAAAATTCCTTTAAAAAAAAAATTTTTTATTATAATCCTTACTATATTGAATTTCTTAATTTCAGTAGATGGATGGGAAGATTTCCTCGAAGTCGGTTTCGAGAAATGTAAACAAAACGGGGATGGGAAGTATTTAAATAAAAAAATAAATATATTCAATCTTGGAAGTTTTTGGAACATTTTTCTGTTGTGAAATTATTAATAAATATCAAAAATGCCGCAAATTTCGGAAAGTATTCTCAGGAGGATGGTTGAATAATGACCTTCTTCAGTCGAATGAACGCACAACAAAACTAAACTAAAAAAAAATTAGCATAACGCTTACCTTCCAAAAAAGTGCTTTACAGTGGCAACATAAATGTATGAGATCAGCATAAAATTCTCGTAAACCATAATATTTTTTAAGTTCGAAGAAAGTATGTCGCCAAGAATGTTTATTGTTATTCCAGTGACAAGCAATCTGTTCTTGAGTGAAATGAAAGTGGCAAAGCGATTTCCACACCTGAGCTTCACCTTCAATTATGGCATTAAACACTTCATGAGCTTTCGCACTTTCTAACAATGACGTATGGTCAGGTAGCTTCCTGAAAGAATAATCACCTTTTGAATTTCGATGAATTTCGATGGATATATCTTATTTTAACCATTAGCTAAAACCACTAGCTAAGAGTGAAAATGGTCGAATTATTGATTCGTTCTCAAGTTTTGTGGCAAAAAAAGCAAATGCAAAAAAGCAAAAAGAAGATTTGAGATTTCGAAGTCCAGTTCCAACCAAGACTAGAATATCATTAACCCCCACTCGAATTCCCAGCTGATTGGAAACTGAAGATTTCCCAAAGATGCACTGCTTACCATTTGCGCGAATTCAAGGTTCGCAAATAGCAAATTTGTGATTCTGATTTATTCAAATGTTCAATATTCTTGTATTCTTGAATAAATTTGAATGAATTATTCAGATTTCATAATTCTGTCAATAAAAGTGAAAATCCTATGGTACTGTGGATCTACTACTATTTTCATATGAATCTTTGGCGAATATAAAAAATTAATGGAACCAGCCAAATGAAAAATGGTAAGTTCGCAACTCGAACGGTCTCTTTCTAAAGCCGCTTCCTAATCATCATCTACTTTTTTTTGAAGCTCAACATTAATTTTTTTATTTCAAGTTCAACTCAACAATAATCATGCAAAAAATCCGCGAGAAATTTCAAAAAGAATTTGATGAAACAAACTGACTGCACCTCAAAATCTGTGAAAGAATTTCTCGAGGCAAATCCATAAAAGTTGTAGATTCTTCATCGCTATCTGCCAAGGTTCGAGGGCATCGCTCAGCTATTATTTCTAACATATCTTCTACGGTACCCATTTGTTTCGAAACCAGCTTTGGAGATCCATATAGATGACCTTCTAAGCCCGTACCAAAATCTGACACCAATGATCGAGCAGTCGATATGTGAAAATCATTTTCAACGCCTAGAATTAATAAGAAATTATTTTTAACATTAAACTGAAGAATGATAGAGCTATTGCAGCCATTTCCATGAAAACAAATGCTTCATGAAAAAATCTAGGATATCAGTTTTAGTTTTAGATAGTTTTAAGTATTTTTGTGGCTTTGCCAAGTATATTTTGTATAATGTGAATAAAGAGTATTGGTAGCTGTTGGATAATGAATTACAACTATAATTAATAGCAGCGTCAAGAATACTCCATTATTTAATATCAAGTTCTAAAAAAATTTCTGGGCGAGTTACACTACTTTCTTCATTCAAAATTTCTAATTTGAACTATCTGAACTATTTATCGAATCCATTTACTTTCTTCATTGTTCTAAAGTAAATACAAATAATTACTTTGTATAACGATAGCCTGAATTATCGACAGAAGATTTCGGCGAGCCGTTGCACTTAAATTTTTTATCTTTTCTTGTACCAAAATTTGTACAACCTGTAAAAAATGTATAATAAAATGAAATTTAAGAAAGAATTTAACTAAATATATAAATATAGCTAAAAGAATTTTATATATATATATATATATATATAATCGAGTCCTCTACCTGGGAGATTGAGAGATCTCTCACTTTGTTCCTGGAATTTGCTAAAGCCATTTTTCTAGCTTAGGGGTAAGAGTTCCAAATGCTCCAATTATCACTGGAATTACTTTGGCCTTTACCTTTACTTTATTCTCTAGTTTCTCTTTCAGTCCTTCGTATTTTCTAGTTTCTCATATTGCTTCTTCTTGAGTTTCAGTCGCTTCTTTTTGCTATACCAATCATCAGTGGTAATTTCTGGTTCTTGTCTATTATCGCGATATCTGGTTGATTTGTCAATAATTATTTGTCTGTTTGGATGGAGAAGTCCCATAGGATCTTCGCCTTATTATTCTCTACGATTTTCTGAGGAATCTCCAGTTTAGTCTTCCAAGGGTCCAAGCTATAACCGAGCAGATATTCCTGTAGATGATGTTACCCAGCTATTTGGTTATGCCTTTTAGTGTATGTTGTTCTTGTTGTATTTTATATCCTTTCACTATGTATATTGGAATATTTCTGAAACATTTTTTTCAAAGCCTGTATCTAAGGTAGGATTTCACAATGACAATGCATAATTATAATGATATGGTTATTGCCTACCAGTGGTTGGAAAAACTGGATTAAAAGGCAATACTCGTTGCATTAACCATAGCAGAACAGGAGCAGGCACTAGCACCAGATCCATTGAAACAAGGATCTATCACATCAGACAAGATTAAAGGTGCAAAAAAGCCTCAGAAATCAACATATAGTACCAGGACGTGAAATGCGAAATGCAAGAATGAACAACATACATTAAAAGGTTTAGCTGGTACCATACCGATTAGCTGGTATACCAAATACCAAATAGCTGGTATCATCTGGATTATTTTCTCAATGTATGGCTTAAACCTTTTCAAGAGCAAATGAGAGAGTCTCAGAAAATTGTGGAGAAAAATAAGGCAAACGTCCTGTGGGAATTCTTCATCCAGATAGATAAACAAACGTTGGTCGATCAGTCAGACATCGTGATAATAGACAAGAATCGGAAAGCAGCACTGATGAATGATATAGAAATATCAAACGACAGGAAGAAAAATTATGAGAAGTTAGAGAAATACCAGGGCAAAATAACAAAAATACCAGAAAAATGAATTATAGAAGATGCGGAAAGTAAAGGCCAAAGTAATTCCAGTGATAACTGCAGCATTTGGAACTGTGAACTCCTAAATAGAAAAGTGGCTTCAACAGATTCCAGGAACAACGTCAGAGATTTCTATATAGAAGAGCGCACTGCAAGAAACAGCCAAGATATTACGCAGAACTCTCAATCTCCCAGGCTTTTGGTAAGGGACAAAGTAATAGTAGCTGATGTAGTTTCCAAAAAAGGTAGGAAAAAACACTGATTTAAATATGCTTAAATTAAAGAAAGGGTTTTGTATAAAATAATAATAGCACAATAGTATACCTTACAAATGTAATTGAATCGTCGAATATCTCTAACAGCACGAGCGAGATCGAGTCGGTGAAATGCTTCACTCATACTCGTACAACCAACAAACTAAAAAATTATCAAATGAATTTAAATGAATTTATCATAGATTTTAAAAAATTATCTTTATTAAATTTATTAAATTGAAAATTTACTTCCTTCGATTTTCCAGTTTTAACAAAGCAGTGAGGAATCCATTCATCTGTGTATTCATCAAAAGCTAAAATATTTTTCAATTATTCTTTAGATTTTTATAAAATATCCTCAGTGATAAATTGTCTTTTTCATGAAATATCCCGATCGATTCTGCGAAAAATATCTTAAAAAATTGAAAATTTAAAAAAATCATCCAAAAATTAGAAAAATTTAAGTATAAGTAGCGCTTAAGGAGAGATTTAAAAGTTTAAAAATTTTTTTCAAACAACAATCAAAAATAACAAAAATGCCATAAAAAGAGCAAATGCAATGCACAAGATATATCTTTTACAAGAATTATAAGTAAATACAATTAAAATATCTTTTCCAAAATGAACTAATGAATTGTTTACCGTTTTATAACTACCAATTCATAAATGGAGAATTTTTTATTACTACTTTAATAATAACAAATGGCAGGACTATTTAAAAAGTAACTTAAGCTTTCGTAAATATTTTGATGATAACGACCGAAGATGAAAGCTAAAAAATCAGTTTGTTTAAAGAAAAAAGAAAAAACTCACATGATTCTTCAACTTCTGACCGAAGTGAATTTTCTTCTTCATTACTTAAGATCGAGTTCACTGAACTTATCCTCTTTAAATTGACTGATAAACAGTTACTGTTCGATGATCGAAGATTATCCGATTCCACGATCTTCAAATCCGTAAAAATCTCATAGTTCACCTAATGCTTAAAAATGCTGAACACTAAAAAAAAAATAAAATTTAAATTCAGTAAAACAAATAAATTTAATAGTAATAATAAAAAATAATAATAATTATTATGGTGAAATATTCTAAACTAATAAGAAAAACGAAACTTAAAAACCTAAGTTAATCTCAATTTAATGTACTTAGAACTATCCATAAAAATCTTTTAGGCAAAATTCTCTAAAATTCTCTACAATTCTCTACATTGCAAAAACTCATCCACTCTTAATTAAGAGATTCAGAAACCATAACCAAGCAAGACACCCAAAGTCACATACCCTTGTATATGTATGTCGAGGATCATAATGTGATCAATAGATTGGAGCAGTTGTTCGTTGGAGTAAACTAATCACTCATAAAATGTACTTTGAAAGACCAAACGACAATGATTATTTGATGGTATTTGAAAATCATCAATTTATAATTGCATGATGAATTTACAATGATTTACAATGATTTACTTATTCTTGGAATTTAAAAAAATCAGACAATTTTCCGGACAAAAAATATCTTCTAGAAATATGTCGAACTGATGAATTTAGTGGAGAAAATTGGTGATATAATTGTTCTACTGCAGGATAATTCAGCCTTTTGACTAATAACCAAACTAGCGGTTCGAGAGTACCAATGACCTTTCTAAGCCGATTTATACTGAATCTATTACTATATATCTTACTATTTTACTATCTATGATTACTATATCCGCCAGTGGAAGAAATCCGAAATGAAATAATGTTTTTGTTGCCCTAATAACCATCTTTAAATGATAATTACGAATCTCATTTTTAATCATTTATAAGGAACTTTAAAAAATTTTTTCGTCATTTTTTCATTAGGCATTTTCAATATAACCATTTAATTTCATTAAGAAAATTTTATAAGAAGGGAAATTCGATTAAGCAAATTTTGCGAATGAATTTGCTACAAAATTTGCAACGAAGAATACTGAATGACATTTCAACGACTCATGCAACGACCAGTTTTTTCACTTATCGCAAGTTTTTTTCTCTATACTCGTCATAATTAGGTTATTCGTATAATTCTCTATAAATATTTATATAACTCGTCGTAATTTTAATCATTCGAAATTGGGAAGTGGTAAACACTCACTATTCAATTTCGCCAGTTGTTCAATTGGAACTTTCTGTCAGAGAGTGATATGACGAAAGAAGCACAGGTGTATCGCCAGCACCAGCAGGATTTTTCACATCAACTCGTGCCACAGGCAACTGAAGGGAAACCGAACCCTTGTCTCTCAATCACTCAGTTATTTTCCTTAATTATACGGTGATATAGAAACCAAAATCTCTCTTAACCAGCAGAAACTAATCCAAGATTAATTGACTCACTTTTATGTCGTTCAAAGGTTAACCTCTCGACAATGTTTTTAATAACCATTAATTTGGCATTATATATCTCTCAAATTTTTTTTTTAAAAGCCCTCACCATTACTGGTTAGACTCGCTCCGCTGGCTTGCCGCACTAGATAAATATGCCAGGCGATATAAATACAGGTTAGTCGCCAGCACCACCCTGGTTTTTGGGCAGGTTTACTCGTGCGGGGAGTAGAACTTCAGCATAAACGCTCGGAATTGAGGTAATAACCCACTGAGCCATTCTTCCTCCCTCCCGAATCTTTCAAATACTATAAAATAATCGCAAATGAAGATTAATCTAACTATATGATTCGAACTTTTTGGATTTATATTTATTTAACTTGAAAGATTCACATTATAATTAATATAACTATATATAATTAATATAATTAAACGAAATTTTATTGATGAATGAAGCAAATTTTTTTTCAGAAGATTGAAAGGAATAAGAAAATGAAATATTCATTTTGGGAAAAATGAATGGAAAGAATCGATAAAAAATGATGAAAATTTTGAAGTAAAAATGAAAAAAAAATGAAAATTTCGGATCTTTAGAAGTTTTTAAAAAATTCTTTTTCTTATTAGTGCCAATGATAAAACGTTATTCGGATATTTGAAATTACTGCCACCACAAGCCAAAGGGTTTAACTGATAAGGGTTTTCTTCACCGAATCAAAACCGAATTAATCTATTAAAATCCTTATTATTACCGTCCATAACCCAATAAGTCTCAATTATCCTAAGCAAAGCCAAATTAACCCAATAAGCTTCCAGTACATTTCCAACCATCTTTAATCTATTCATATTCATAACAATCATTTTCATAGGTCAAAGGTCTTTATTCTGCTATTCAAAAAAAAATTAAAAATTTTTCAAAAATGACAATTTTTCAAAAATTTTTTGCGAAAAGAATATCAAAAATCCGAAAATTTGTTGTGGACTGCGATAAAATTCTTCTTGAAAAAAAGAATTTCCTTTTCATTTATAGATGAGAGGATAGCCGAATGGATAATGGCTCAAATTATCGTCTTGAAAGGACGGGATTCAGTTTCGACAGCAATAAACCTGCCATTAAAAAAACCCGGGTGGCACTGGAAACTCACCTGCACTTCTATTGCTAACTAACAGCCAGTGGAACTAGCCTATGATATTAAGAAAACTAAAAGCGGCCGTAACGACGAATTCAGATAAAATAAATGAAGGCAAAAAATAAGCAAAATTCATTAAATAAAAATATAATAAAAGTGGAAAAAATTTGGAACTCTCTAATTAAGAAAATGAGTATAAAATATAAAAACCTGAACAGGTCGAAGTTTGATTTGTTCCCATCCGTCAGTATGTGGACATCTAATCCACGCTTCACCAGGACCACGCCAGTCTTTCCCAAGGAACGGCATAATTATTTATCTATACTGCCAAAATATCGAGCAATGTAGTGGAACAGGTTAAAAAGCCTAAAGGCATAAATGATTAGAAACCCCGCCTTCTTTCAGTCAACCAACCGGTTATAAGTTTTCCGATCTTTGTATTGTTTATCGATTATAGATCACGGGATTTATATTATTGATAAACTGATAACGACAGCTAACGCACAATGATTAGAAAAAACAAATGATTGACATTGAAATAAATGATTCGATCAATAATAGTAGATATTTGCCGATCTGATCGGACGTGCTCATTTAAAACAGCTGATCGTCGATAGGTGGCAATGCCAGCCGTACACTCGTTTGCTCCACTTTACCACTTTTCAATGTATCGTTCGCATCGTCAACAATTCTCCACCCATTTATCGGCTTTCTTTCTTTACTTGGCAACCAAATAACCAAACAACAAAACAAGTGAGATTTTTCACATGGACGAACAAGCTGCTTGGGAACGGCACCAGCAGCATCTCTTTTACCTCACCGAAGATCTCAAATTGGTTTTAAATTTCGATATAGGTGTGGCTGCTCATTGTGGTTTTAGTTATGAAAGAACTCGAATGTCCATGGTTGCTTCCTGTTGAGACCAATATTCCTATTCGTTCATTCTATTTGCTTCCAACTTCTTATTCATTAATCATTAACCTTAGGGGCCAAATGGTGAAAAGATTTATCTGGAGCAAGGCCTTGCAGAATTCAGACCTTTCTTGGCTAAGATTATCGTTAGCCCATATGCTAATATATATAGTTTGATTCGATGAAATACCTATCCAATGAGAGTTTCTTGAAAGATGCATCTTGAAAGATGCTCATCAGATTTATGATTTTGATTTACGAGTGCATAATGTTGGAATACTTAATACTCGAATAAAGTTGGCTATAGTCTGTTTAGATTTCGCTATTTTTATGTATATTAGCAAATATTTTATCATGCAAATCTTGGCCAATTTTTTTTTGATTCGCATTCACCGTTTCCGGTTTGGCTCACTCCCTTGGCTGTCGGGTTTGACAAATTTTGCCAGGGAATCATTTGATTACATAAGTACAGCAGCACCTACATCTTTGAAAGATTTACTTCAAGTTTATCCCTGTAATTTAAGAATGAAAGCAATTCGGCAATTCGCTGGAATCGTTTGTTGATTGATGTATAAAATATGGCATAAATACTTTTTTTCTACACGGAAGTAGAAAACTGTTATAAATTATTGTTATTATGAAAAATGTTTGTAGGTGTATTCACTAAAGAATACGAAAGAACACGAGCGGACAGTGGACAGTGAATGTGTTCATGGAGTGAGAATATTTTTAACGAAGGATAGTCAGCAATAAATACATAAAATTTCGATTTCGAGAACAGTGACCATATTAATACATAATTTTTCAATGAATACCCATCAAAAGTTAGAAATATGAAAAAAAAAAGCAAAATTTGAGATACTGAACGATGAATCGGCATGAAGGATTTCCTCCCGCAAAGCTTAAACCGGTTCAGATAATCGATTATATCGTCAATCCATAAACGAATCCAGCTGATTTGATGAAATATCCAATAACGATTTTCTAACGACGGCATTATTTGTTATCATTCACAAATTTCGAGATTTCTAGCTGCTAAAATGAGGTTTTTAATGACCAAAAATTTTTTAGAATTTTGAGAACGAAGGATTCTCGGTTTTGATCATAGAAATAATTTTTCATTAGCAGAAATTTGGAAATATTTCTTATTTAGGTGGTTGATGGTTATTACTTCTGGTTAGATTAGCTCTATTGCCTATTGCCAAGGGGTCTACTTAACGATGGAACTACAGGTGTGTGCCCAGCATCATCCAAGATTAATTTACTCCTTTTTCTTCCGCAGGTTCAACCATTTTACAGCAAATTTATGGAAATCTATCAAAAATTTGAAGTAACATATTCAAATTAAGGCTGAAACAATGTGGTTATGGATAATATTCCATAAAATTTTCGGCGCATATAATTATTATTAAATAAACAAAAAAATTTATTGAACATACAATAATATTATTATATTATTAAAAATATTATTATATTATTAAATATTATTAAAATATTATCATATTATTATGTAAGTTATTATGTAAATCTATGGCTAAAAACCAAATGAATAGGAATCAAGAAAAATTCGGAAAAAACAAACTATTCAAGGAAAAAATTTCATCTTAACCAGTTAGTGGTCAAGAATATTGTGGCCGGCCAGGAAGAAATAGCTAAGCCAATAAAAATGAATTTAGTCCAGAATAAAAATAAATAGAATGATTAATAATAATAGTAATAATAATAAAAATAAATAACAATAATAATAAATAATAACAAATAATAAATAATAATAGTAACAATAATAATAATTTATAATTCAATTAATTTAATTTATAAATAATAATTTATAATTAATAATAATAAATAATAAGAATTTATAATTAATAATAATAATAATGGCAATGGACAGAGCGTTTGTAACAAATTTTCTTAACGGTATTTGTTTATCACTTTTTACAACGAAAAAAACGAATAGATATTAACTGCTCCGAATTCAGGATATTTATCATCTTGCTCAATAAATAAAATTAAAAACTGAAAACAATTTTTTCTGCTTATTTTCAGCATTTATAGGTAAATGATCAAAATGAAGTAAAGTAAAGAGGCTTACTCTACTCATCCTAACCATTTCTGGTCAGGCTCGTTCCACTAGTTCGTCGAATTTTATTAGACTGGATAGAAATAAAACAGATCGTCAGCACCAAGTGAATTATCGAAGGACAGGCTTACTCTTGCCGAGTAAAACCTTGGCGTATTGAAATGAAAGCAACATGTAATTAGGCCACTATAACTCTTTCTCATATCCCCCTCCCACACTGTCTCGGAATCTACTGTTAAATATCAATTGTAATACTAATTTCAATTTAAACAAATATTTATTCTCATCTAACTTCATTTTTCAAGATTAAGTATAATTCTAATATGGACATCATTTTAAGTAAGCGATTAGCGCTCAACATTTCTGATTAAACTCATTTTACTGGCTTTAACTGGCCTATGATTAGAAATTTTTGCGTGAAAATCGATGAACGACAAAAATGCAAACGAGTAGCCAACACTAGTTGGATTTTTGATTGACAGACTTATTAGTGTGGAGGGACAAGCCAAACCACTTACCTGCAACACAAACTACTAATTCCCTCTGCAATCCTATATACTGGAGCCTCCAATGCTCATGTCATCTCATCTCATCTCATTTGCCATAATAATGGCTATTTATCCTGGCTCTTTATTATATCGTCTTCAATAAGTAGAATCCTTTTAAAGGACATCTCTTAGTCGCTAGCAAGACTTCATTAGCATCATCGAAGTCATAAGCAAACAATTTTTAAAATGTTTATGGAATTTTTTAGTAATATTTTCCCATTGAGCTTGATTTTGTTGCAAGTTTATATGAAATCTCATTATTTTTGCAAACTGTATTGAATTTTTCAACTAATTTTTACGACAAAATTTGCATAATCTCGCTTTATAGAAAATCTAAGATTTTATAAGTTTACAAAAGTTTTAAAAAGTTTTTTGCAAGCTGAAAATTAAAAACCTTATTTTTTATCCAAAGGATTTTTGCTGCTTTTTTTCTAATTAGCTAATTAAGATTAACTGGCATAAATCTAAATGGTAAAAAATCTATGAAGAAGGTATAATCACAAATTATTGAAGAAATTGTGTTCAAGAACTTCTTCTAATAGCTCTCACAATTAGTGATTAGTGATTAGATAAGCTATCTCCGCTCGCCGACAATAAGACATTTACAAAATCCACGATCTGATGCCATCGTTGGTAGTAATGGAAGCCATTCCTTTTTTTCATCGTTTAAGCCCATATTGCTGGTCCATCTGTATGTTTCCGAAATTTTTCCTCACCCAGATCTTGATTGGCCCTCCTCGCTTTTAATGCTACCCATCACAGATTTTGGCAAATAATGAAATATGTGTCAACTCCTGTGGTGACCATGAAGAACGTGTTCTAACCAGCGAAGGCGATATTCTGTGATGGTATAGTACTGATAATGCAAGTGGTATTTGAATGAGATGGATGCGATCATGTGAGATTTTATCAGCTCGGTGAATCTATAAAGTATATCTTAGAAATATGTGGTCAAAAATCTCCACTCTCATCGGCCATATCTCACAGCCATATGACAAGATCTAGTGAGCTGCAGCTATATGGAATCGGACTTTCGTTTTTATGGTGATTTTGCGACGGTTTCATAAAGGCTTTCGTACCGGAAAAAAATATTCCTAGATATCGATATTCGGGTTGAAATTTCATCCCTGGCCATGACTAGAGTAGATCCAAGATATTTAAAGTCAGGCACTTCGTCAACTAGTAATAATTTGATAAAAATAGGTATTTTATCAACTTCTTGTATACAAGACGAAAAGGTTTTCGTTTTATTTACATTGATCCTGAGTCCGATTCTCGCTGCAGTTGTCGATACATTGTTGAACATTATTTGCATTTCGTCATAATTAGCAGCAAAAGGAACTACATCATCAGCATATACAAGACCTGCGATGCCATGTTCTGGACTGATTTGTAGCTCTTGCTGCCGGCAAGCGATGTCCATTATTCAACCTATCGCATAGTTGAATGTTTTTATGACCCAGATGCTCTCCGGAATCGATGTCATATATCACCATCCTCCAAAGATATATCATCATCTTTATCACCAACATCGAAAGTAACTTTAAACTCGATATTTGAAGAGATGTTCAAACACCCTTTTTAACATGAAATCTGGTCAGCATAACCACTGTTTAATTTAAATCCAGCTTGGTTAGAATGCATCCTGCTATCCTGCACTATCCTTTATCTATTCAGCAGAAGGGAAGCAAAAATTTTCGTTAAGCTGAAATAACTGTCCATAACTTTCCTCCATAACTGTAGCATGTCTTGTCACATTTCTTGAGAATTGGAGAACAGAATTGTTTTGCTCCATTCCTTGTTTCCATACCAGAGAATATACTTACTAAAGGTGTTATTGAAAGAAGATGGACAATTTGAAGAGTTCAGACTGGAGATCATCTTCTCACGGAATTTTATTGGCCTTAAGCTTATGGATAAGGCAGATTATTTCCTCTTCTATTGGCATTAATTCAAAATTGTATGGTTGGACGAGTGAATCAGCTATGACTGAAACAGATGGCACATCGTGGTTAAGCTTAACCCTAAAAAAATTCCTTCCATCTTGCAAGGCAATCCTTATTAGTCTTAACAGGCAATTATTATTATCCCTTACCCTTTCATCGACCATTCTTCGAGTTATAATTTCCTTGTGAAGAAGGTGAAATAACTTTCTATTATCGCATAATTGAGCCACCGCCTCCATTCTCAAGGCCATATAGCTCCAACAGCAGTTTCGATATAGTGCTGCTGTCATTGTAATTCTTCGATGGTAGCCTTTTCAGATAGTTGGATTATTGCTTTCTATATGCATTTACCGCATTTCCTAATAGTATATTCTGGTGTGAAGTGATTAACTTTCGGAGATATGCCTTTAATTTGCGATTAGTATTCATCTGTCGTTCTAGGGTTGTCACTAATGTTCATTTAGCTGATATAATTCGGTATGAAATGCGCTCACTGTCCACGAATTTTTTATTTCGAAGGATCTTGAGATGTGTTGTTTTTTGCGAGCCAATTTCAGTTTGTTAGTTTTAAGCGATCTTGGCTTGAACCATAACATGGTCTGACCCATGAAAGGTTTCCAGGGTTACCAGTTTCAAAGATAAGGCTATCTAGCACTGAATTCTTCCAATAGCGACTGACTAAGTTCCGAAGAGTCCTGACAGTCTCACAAGATGCCTTCTATGATGCCGGAAACACATATTAGTAACAAAAGTTCATGCTCTTCGGCAAAGCGAAGAGGGTCTTCTCCATTGGCGCACCGGACGCCGATACCACATATGCCAATCGAGTTCATTGCAGCAGCATCATGACCTACGCGTGCATCCCAGTCTTCTCCATGTCATGTTTCAGTAGGGATGTTGTTAGCAATTCAAATTCCACAAAGAACTTATCCTTATCTGGTCATCTGCATATAAAGTTGGAGCTTATAATAATTGAGATATTGCAGAATTTTCCTTTAAAGCGGGCATAAGTCATGTGGTCGTTTAACGCTCTCCATTCACTCAGAATGGGCCTTTTGAAGCCACCACTATGCCATTTCGCCCCGAAACACCACAATGATTATGCCAGCATCACTACCCGGAGCCAATGTTTAGTAAATGCTGAGAACTGTGGAAGAGGACAAGCAGGCGACATCCACACGACTTTTAGAAAAAGTGTGGACTTTTAGAAATTGCTTGGATTACAATGTTCTGATATTTCCCTATGCTACGACTAGTATCTCGGCGCGAATGTTCCCATTTCGAGCAATTATCCTGGTTTGATAAGATATCTTTTTCTCAAGCTTTGGTATCGTTTTACTGTGGATTACAGGCTTATTGCATGTATCATGCGATGTTGCATGCGCATTAAGAATAGACTTTTTCATCATAGAGTCCACTTGGAGATAGAGTGCTCAGAAGCTACCAGGATTTCTGATATCATGATAGGAGAAAAAGACAAAAGATAAGGATCGTAACTTATAAAAATTTCGGAAAAATCAAGAGCCTAGACAAAGCCTATTTATTATAATTGCAAATAATCGTTTATTTTTTCAGAATGAAAGCAACATGGATGAAATTACTGAAAAGTATTAGTATAAAAGTATTCTAAATTTAATTTCAAAATTTGAAAGTTGGAAAGAAGATTCAATGATAAAATTTCAATAAAAACTAGTTATGCAATAAAAAATTATCGATAAAATGATAAAAATTGCAATAATTATTAATCACTCAATTAACATTTATGACCATTTAAAATTGAAAACAGCAAAGAATAATTTGATAATTATAACGAAATTAATTTTTTTTATCATGCTATTTAGTTTTTTAAAAATTAATAAAAGCATTTTATTAGTAATTTTCATATTGTTATCGATAACAGGGGCATTGCTAGTTAATCCAAAAAATAAGATAAATATTCATCAATATGGCCGCCAAGTAATATGAAAATAATGCGATTGAGCTTTACTATTTAATTTTACATAGGCTGATAAAATAGTTAATTGATAAAATAAAACGGATAAATGATTGACTTTTTGATTAGGCGTGAGTATAGTGGGACCAGTGAATCTTTAAAGTCTTTAGGAGGGGTCTCTCTATAGATAGAAATATAGCTGAAAAGTATTTTTGAAAGAGATTTATTCGTGCTTTTAGAATAAGACTTGGACCATAACAATGGAAATGTATAATACACATTCGGTCATAACACATTTTAAAAATAAATTAAACAGAATTATTTATTTAGCACAGAGATAGCCTTAGACCTGTTTAAACCAAATTTGTCTCATCCTACTTGTTTCACCTAAAATTTTTTTTTTTTCTTCATTGATATTATATTTTATTATATTTTATTTTATTGTTATTAATAAGCATATGGTCATTGTTCACCTATTTTCCTCCAAAATTAAAATATAAATATAAAAATTTTTCTTCGAAAACTTTCCAATATTTCGTACCACTGGAGTTTCGGCTCGCATACTTTTCCTAAGTTAAAATATTTCCAAGCACCTTTATGTAGTACCATTCCTAAAAATAACTGGAGCCACTCCTTTTTGCACTGTCGTATATCACTGGATCGTACTGGTTCGATTCTTTTGGCCCTTCTTATTTTTGGTAGCATCACAAAATTTGGCAAATAGCAAGATGTCCATTAATTCCTGTGGTGAGCAACGAAAAATATGACCGAACGAGCGCAGATGCTTACATTCTTAATGCAGATATTATTCGAGCCAAGATGCAGTCATTGTCCACTTAAAAGGTAAATCTTAGGATAAATCTTAAGCAATAGCTTCTTGATTTTATATATGATTTTATATATGATATAGATCAAGAAGGAAACAAGCAACAAACCTTGCAGGTATTTTAAGCTACAGTTTCTTCTTCGTCCAATCATCATTACTGGTTAGGCTGGATCCAGTGGCTACAAGGGTAAGACGACGCTTCCAAGCGGCGCGGTCCGATGCCATCGAGTAACTGAAGCCATTCCTTTTTGCATCATCTAAATCCATATATTGCTGATCCACTTATACGTTCAAATTATTAAGATCTTTTCCGACAATCCAGGTCTTCTTTGGTCTTCACCTCGCTTTTAACGTCATCAATCACACGTTTAACAAGTAGCGAAATATGCGTCAACTCTTGTGGCGGACGACAGAGAACATGCTCTAAGCATAGAAGGCGGCGCTCTTTAATAACGTTATTAATACAAATGGTATTTGAACGAAGGTGGATGCGATCATGTGATATTCTATCCGTTCGACAGACTCGAACGAATCACGGCTATATAGATGCGGACTTTCGTTTTTATGGTGATTTCACGACGACTCCATAAAGGTTTCGTTAACCGGAGGAACGTATTTCTAGCTGCCGTGATCCGAGTAGTAACATCGTCCTTTGTCTGGCTGTTTGGTATTAGAGTGGAGCCAAGGTATTTAAAATCTGGCACTTCCTCAACCGGCAATGAATTTATAAAAAGAGGCATTTTATCAGCTTCTTGAACATAAGACGAAAAGACTTTCATTTTTTTTACCCTGAGTCCGATTTTTGCTGCAATTTCTGACACATTATTTAGCAGTACTTGCATTTCGTCATAACTATCAAATAGGACTATTCAAGATCTGTGATACAATGCTCTGGACTTATTTATACACCCTTTGAGTGACGACAGTTTAGAAATAATCAATTCATTACAAGTCGAATATAAGTCGAGGTAAATTTCGTAGCCATAAAGTAAAATTGTGCGCCCAACCAGATAGATGCCAGGATTTTGTTTTGAAGTTCATTTCGCAGCAATTTCAGAGGAATTTCACCAAAAGAAAAATGGCATTTCTTGGTGTAGCAGTCTCGATCTGGAATTTCCTCTTTTTGATTGACGATGGGAATGAACCAAAAATATTTATAATCTGAAATTTCTTCGACCATTCGTTAATTTATGTAAACTGCGATCATATAAACGTCTCGTATAGCAGTATACAAAAATGACAACAAAAGAAGAAAAAGGAGAAAAAGAAAAAATCATGCGATTCTCCACACATTGGTATACATCCATGAAATGTTTTGATAAGTCTGATTAGCTCTCCTCTGGATTACCATAATTGCATGGCTTGCCAAAGCGCCCCTGAATCAAAGGCAGCAAAGAAGATGATGAAGCGCTTAGCGGTTAGGTTGTCGATATTTTCCAATATTATTTCCAATATTATTATAACAATTTTCCAATATTATTCTCAGCGTGGAAATTTGATTAGTATAGCCACGCCTTGGCCTTTATCTAACGCCCATAAATCAATTCAGCAGAAAAGATACAAAGACCTTTCCAGATATATCTAATAAATTGCTGTATACCGGCAAATTAGGCATGTCGAGTATTTTAAATGGCTTAGCAATCCATCTTCTGTAGCTCATACATTTTCTCCTTATTGCATTTCTTACAGTCTGTCTACCCTTCGAAATCCAATACTCT